GAACTGTGAGTGAAATGTAAAATAAAATTAAAAAATAAATTAAAATTAATTTAAAAAGAGAACAAAAAAAGAGACAAATGAAAAGGTCTGAGGGCCTGAAGATGGCTCCTAGGTTAAAAGCACTTTTTGCTCTAGCAGAAAACCCCAGTTCCATTCCCAGATCCACATCAGATATCACATAGACACCTGTGACTCCAGCTCTAGCGGATCTGACACCCTCTTCTGAACTCTGGCAGGCAAACTGATTCCTATAATTTCAGTCACAATCCTTATGTGGAAGTTGGAGGACAAAGTTCAAGCAACATGTTCTTTGGTGCTTGCCACACAGGGTTCTTGTCCCAGGACATGCATGAATACTATGTTGGTGACACTGGCTTATGGTTAACTACAACAAAGGAGCCACTCATTCCTATCTAGTTATGTGTGCACATGCCTACACACAACACACATATACACACATCTAAAAACAAATAATTTTTCATTAAAGAAAGCCTGAGCATTTAATGTAGATATTTTATCTCAAATAACAGGACGTAATTGAAAATATTCTTATGTATGTGTTAGTCACTGCCCTTTGCAGCCTGTTATAAGCTATCTTGGGGGCATTAATCACTAACATGGAAATACTGTAAGCAGCAGATACTTTGAAACTGAGTTGAGTTGTGTTGTGAGAATAACTGAATACAGAAAGATAGGTAGTAAGGTCTCTTGGTGGTCTGTCAAGACTACACATGATAACAGTTGAGTAATGCTGCATTCTTAAAGGAAAAGCACTTCTACAATTATTGTTTTAGGCCTATCAAAGGATCTGTAATAACTTTTAAAAGAATTTAAACTTAAAAAAGCATGTCCCAAAAGCACTGTGAAATCCAGAAAGAAAACAAAATAAATGAATAAATTAAATACATAAATAAATGGCCATAGTGACATTAGAGCAGACATTTGTTAAAATCATGAAGATTTCATTAGCCACCTGTCATGCGTCCCTAGCCAAAAAAAGGTAAGAACAATTAAATACATTACTATACACACTGAAAACACAGACTTGGGCCTAAATATGAATAAAGAAGAAAGAAAGGCAAATGTATAAACTTTAATTTATATTTTTAGCTCTCAGATAACTTATAATGTTGCACATAAATGGCCAGCTATTACTAAATTGACATAGATAGCCATTTCCCAAAATGTTTTGAATTCCATTTCACAATGGAAACCTAAATTCTTCAGATTTTATCACAAGATTTTAATTAAAAACCATACCTGAAGATAAGAATTGCAAGTAGAAATCTAATTTATTAAAAAGGCCCTAAGATAAGAATTGTAAATAAAAATCTAATTTATTAAAAGCACATTTCATCAAATTATGCAATGGCATAATGTAGCTGTATTTTATGTATATGTGTGTGCCATTTGGTTAGGTAGAATGTTGCTTTAAGAAAAGTCATTATAGAGTTTCTTCAATCAATTTAGTACATATAGTTAACTATTTTCTGTATCGTGGTGTTCTTTCTGATAACAAAAACAGAAAGACAAATTAGAAGCAAAGTCTAGCTGAAATTCTTTGATAAGTAGGCACACAGTCATTCAAACTTAATGATCCTGTCAGATCCCATTAGATTTAAGATGTCTACACTTTCCCACTGACAGATACACAACCCCAAGAAGGTGATACTGGAAGTCACAGTCAACACTGTGTTACTATCAGAGTTGTAACTTAGAGCATTATAGCTACCAAGGCAAATCCATCAAAAGACACAGCTCTAAGAACTGTCTATATCCATAAACACAATGACCATCTATCAGAAACAGGATTATCACTTTCTTTACATAATGAGATTTAATTCTACTAGTGCCTTGCTCTCAATTTGTTTCTTCTAGAACTATTTGTCCAATTTTAAAAACTAAAAACACTTATTTATTGCTTCTACTTTCATTATTCCTAAAATGTCCACATTTTCATAAGCTCACAGTACCAAATAAGTCATCTCACTTTAAGAATACTGAATAGAAAGAAATGTTCATGCTGCAAATATCACTTGTAAAAGCAAGCATTGCCAGATGAAATGTATTCCATTCTGATAAAACTGCTTAACCTGAAATGAATTCACATGAAGTTTAACAGTTAATTGGGCAAATAGATAAGAAATTAGAAAGCTTCTCAACCAATGCCAGAATTTCCATTTTTGTTGTCCTTGTTGTGTTTAAACACAAATTAGGGTAGAAGATAGCATCAAGTAATTTACAAGTCATATTTTAAGGCACAAATGTTTAAACATGCTTCTGCATAGAAATGGTGGTTTATTGTTTGAAGTGGTGGTGAGTATGGCATTAAGAAAGAACTATGAAAGTTCACCATTCAATCAGTCTGCAAAATACCCATAAGCTCGTAGCATCACACCTCTCAGAGACACTTGAAGCAGCAAGGAATCTATAAACTATTTAAGGTAAGTGATTATTCGGCATTCAGATTAATCTGTAGCTCCCAAATACTTTAAACTGATACCTCTGCTCTTTACATTAAAGAACTTTCACCTCAAAAACAATGAACACAATCACCCAAAGTGATGTTACATCTTATTTCACTTTTAGATAGGAAGGTTGAATGACACCCCTCAGAACCTCTAACTTCATCACAGTATCTACCAAGTTAATGACTTGCAGAGAGAGGTAAAAGCTTGCATTAGGATGGGCAAGAAAGAAGCAGAAAATTCTGAACCCACACCCTCACTTCTTAGTGTTCAACTCTCCCTTCCAGAAGACTAACAGAAACAAAAATGCAGAAGTAAATTTCATTTCAAGTATGACGGTCCATTAGCATAACTGGGTGACATAGAATCTTAACGTGACCTGCACTCTAATCCATTAACCAAGTTTCCAAATACTTGCTTTTCCACACTCCTGGAGAGTGAGAGTCTACATATCTGGGACAACATCCAGTTCCACTTGAGACTTTCTGTGTCTGACCTAATGTACACTGGCAACACCCTGTAATTGCTTAGAAGAAGATTCCTTTCCTTTTCCTGGAAAACTGGTCTGACACATAGGATGTCCAACAAAGAAAATAATTCAAAGCATATGTTTAAACATGCATGAGCAGCCTGCAATTCTCAATTCTCAACAACAACAAAAATTCTCCATGGAATCCTGATAATCAGGGCAAAAAGGGAGCTGAGAAGTCCTGGTTTATGGCAAATCATAAAGGGAAAATACATGTTTCTTAAACCTTCAAAACCTGAATTAGGCTGTGGACATCTGTCGATCTCTGAAGTCAATAAAAAGAGTGTTTCAGTATAAAGATTCTAAATCTGCAGCAGAGGAAGACTTTGCAGAGACCAGGAAGGAATTGATTTGTAATGCAGTTGCAAAAGTCAATGAGGAAAGGGAAAGAATGGAGTGACAAAGAGAGAAAGACCCCTGGAGGTGAGAAGTCCAAAGTGAAGACCAGAACAACAAGCAGGTTTATTTTAACACTAGAGGACATGAACACAAACACATAAAGGCGCGCGCGTCTGTGTGTGTGTGTGTGTGTGTGTGCGTGTGTGTGTGTGTGAGAGAGAGAGAGAGAGAGACAGAGACAGAGACAGAGACAGAGACAGAGAGAGAGAGAGAGAGAGAGAGAGAGAGAGAGAGAGAGATTGAGAGATTTTGAGCAACAAATTCGTGAAAACCTTAGGATCCCAAGGGAAAAACGTCATAGGAGTGGTCAAGTACCCTTAATCCTGCAAATAAATCAGGCTTTTCTGGTAAGAGAGGGTGGCGTGGCGCATCTCAAGGGGACTCTGCTCTCCTAAAGGCTGAGTGTGAAACAGATGAGGCAGAGCTACCTTCACCTGCTCCAATACCTCTACATGAGAGCGTCCACCCTTTTGACATTTGCCTTGCCTGCATTCCAAAGATTCTATGTTTGCCCACCTACTGACTCTTATCCCGTAGCTATCAGTAAAGCTGGAAATGAAGATTCTGCACCTGGGAATTCAACTAACCACAGTCAAGACACGGGGGGATTCTCATTCTCACACACCATTGGCTGGGCAGACCTGAAGCCTCAGCAGCTGGGTTCCTGTAGTGCTGTGTCCTTGGACCCCGGGTGGGGAGGCTGGAGCGACACCCTCCATTCTGGTCCCTGAGCCCCTCATTCAGCTCCAAGGCAGCCCAGATGCAGGAAGGCTGCTGCACTCACGCCTTCCTATGGGCGCAGAGTAATGGGGGTGGGTGGGTATGCATCTGGGGGCTTCCAGAGGAAAAAAAGCACCTATGAATCGGGGAATTGGGAGCTAGGAAAGAGACAGGGAAAAGGAGGAGAAAGAGAGAAAAGGGGAAAGTGTGCAAGAGAGACACATGAAACAAACAGTACAGCAGAGACGTAGTCTGGCTCAAAGAAAGACCAGAGCAAATAGAATGAAAGAGAAACAGACACAAGGAGGAATACAAGGGGACCAAAAGCCAGAAAGAAAATCAGATCTACAAAATGAGTCAGAGATAGACATACGCGGGGGAAAATAAGAGACTGAGGAGACTAAAACATAGACAGAAAGAGTTTTCTGTCAAGGAAGACATTCAAGTGCCAGAGCGAGCGTGCCTGGTGTCATGAGTAGTAGCACCGGCAACATAGCACCCTGGGGTGTCCGCAACTGGGAAAGAAAGTTGCCTAGCAAGAGACTCTAAGGCAACGGAGAGCGCCCCCAGGGCGTGGATGAGGACCAACACGCGCCAGCTCAGAGGGTAGTAGCAGAAAAAGCTTAGCGGAGGGCTGGTGGCTGCAGAAAGTTGCGAGCTTCCCCATCCTACCGCCGCACCTGCAAGTCGCCGCGGGCGTGCGTGCACAGAGGACCCGGGAGACAGACTCTCCAGGTCCACGCGCTCCCCCTGCCCCTGTCGGGTTGAGGTTCTGAGCATTGTCACTCACGGCGGGACTTTGCAACGCCCAGCCGGACTCTCCAGCAGTCCGAAAGGGGCCGTCCCAAACCGGGAGAGAGAGCAAGAGAGAGAGAGAATGAGACCTGGTCTGGTGGCTGAGGATCCCGCGGTGAGAGCTCGGCGGTCCGCGCTTGGGATGCTGTCAAGACCGAGATTTGCCGGCGGCCAGCTGCGCCGAGAGCGGTGCTCACCTGGAACCCGCACCGCTCGCAGCCCGGGCTCCCGCCCGCGTCTCTCTTCACACTTCTCCTTCGCGGCGGCGAGCAGAACAAGGCGGCCCCGGCCTCGGCCAGCGCCGGAGACGCTCCCACATAGCGCGACGAGCGGCCGCGAAGCTCGGCAAGCGCGACCAGGGGGCGCCCAGGCCGAGGAGGAGCAGGAGACGGAGCGGGGCTCCTAGCACATTGTCACCTCGACAGAGCCGCCTGCCACCGCCGCCGCCTGGTCACTTGGCCCCCCCCCCCCCCAGCCGGGCCCTCCCCCTCCCGCAGCCCCAGCCCGGAGGCCTGTCACTGGGCTAGGATCATTTACGTAACCAGCACCCCGGCCCTCCTCCCGCCCGGCTCCCGCTCCTCCCCGGGCTGGGGAGCTGAGCACCCGAGCGCGCTCCAGCTGCTCCCGGAGCCGCGGCTCCTGCGAGGCGCACAAGTCCCGCGATACTTGCTAGGCACGGCCCCCAAGAGCAACTGTGGGGTCCGCTCCTAGCTCCTAGCCCCGGAGAGTGTGTGCCCATCCCTGCTAGCTCTGACTCTCCCCCGACCCCGCACCCCGCTCCAGGCGCAAAGCCCAACTGCGGTGCCCCATGCTTGCCGGTGAGCCAGCCAACCTTGGAGAGGGATACCAGGGACCTGGGGACTGCCCTCGGGGAAAGTTCCATAAACCGCACCCTGGTGGTCAGCTCTCTGGTAGAGAGATGCTGCCAGGAACTTAAGGCTTGGGCTCTGAAGCAGGAAAGATGGACACACTTTGGCCTCTTGTTCTTTAAGGCTTAGACTCCCTAGTAGGATCCTAGGGTTCACTGCCCCCCAGCGATCTGTAAAAGAACTCAATTGCAGAGTGAGCACTCTCTTGTAATCTTTAAGGTGGAGTGGGGGACAAGGAAAAAGTGGGGCTTTGAATTTCTTTATTCTTCGGGAAGGTGTAGTCGACCACCCACGCACGCACACACACAATCTCGCCCACACCTCTAAGTATCAGAAAGCTTGAATAGCTAAATTAATGTGTAGTGTAATGTAACAGAAGATCCGCTGCTCTAAACGGTGTTAAAATATATGTAGCATTTTAGAACAGTGTCTGGCACAAGGCACAGATCAAATACTCAAAGATTAGAATCTGAAAGATTCCCTGGAAGCCTATTCCTCGCTGCCATGTGGGGGTCTGAGGAAAACTGGGTTTGCCGGGTTGAAAGACCTGCTTGGGTTTTCAGTCACTACTTTGACCATTGATGTTGGCCAGGTTTATTTGCTTGTTAATTTTATTTTTAAAAAGAGGTGAAAAGGGCAATTTCTTCTTACAGTATTCTTATGTGGCATGACTTATTTGGAACATTAGGGAAGGATGCGACAGCTACTTCAAAAGTATTAAGAGTCATATTGTACAAACATGTAATGCTATTAATTATAACGTAGTGTGTCGATGATGTTCTTGATTATACTCAGGAGTAGCAATTTCTAGAGACGTAGCTTTGCATCTTTTCATGAATTAATTATAAATCTAAATTAGTCTGTTAACAACATTAAACGCTTCTTCTATATTGTCATATCACATCACTATTAATATGAAATATCAGTCCACAATTCTAGCTACTAGAGAAGCCAAGGCAGGAAGATGACTTGAACCCAGCTGTTCAAAACAAGCCAGGACAGCACAGCAATCCCTGTCTCAAAAGAAAATGTAGCATTAGATCTGCAACATTCAACACAGGCACTTTAAGTATATGTGATAGGACACAAGGTTCCACTGCTAACGCAAGTAGTCTCAAGAATTGGTCTCTATTATGCTCTCTGTTATGCGGACTTGTGACTTCCAAATGCTGATATCAGGCCGTTTACCTCTGTGACATGAGAAATGCCATAGACCAACAAATAGAAGATTACTGTTCAAATACTGGGACAATAACTTACCCTCATGTGTGTCCTTGAGAGACATTATAGCCCCCACCTTAGCATTTGTCATCACTGTAAAAAGAAGCAATGCCATTTCACAGTCTCTGTAATAATACTTAACTCGGACAAGATTCATAAATCTAGTTGGCAAAACTTATATATGTAACTGGTATTTATGTAGTCCCAACGTGTCTTCTAGAAATTATTAGTTTTTGCTGCATAACACATTATCTGAAGAGTTAGTGGCCTAAAACAATAAACATCTGTAATATCTCCAAGTTCTCTGGTTTGTCAAGGCTTTTTTTTTTCCTGGGCAGGCTCAGCTTAATTAGTCTATGTCTTGATAGGGAAACTGCAAAGAAATATTGTATAGGAGAATGAGAAGCCTTTAAGGCTATGTTTGTATCCTAATATGGATTCTTAATTACAATAAGATAAAAAATTTCCTTGCAGTGAATAAATCTGGACATCCCATTTCTCCAAGTGAACAAAGTTAGAATCACAAAATAATACCCAAACCTTGTGACCTGATGCACAGAAGAACAAAGTAACATAGTTTATTTCAAGCTCCAGACCTGACATGACAAAACCAAAACTTTGAGAACTGCCACTGTGATGAAGGTCCCTGAAAAGTTAAGGAGATATTCCATACCAAATAAGAATAAGATAGAGGACTTCCAAGTTCTGAAAGTCAAGAAAGGCTGGAGAGGTGGCTCAGTAGTAAAAAGAATATATTGCTCTTCTGGGGGACCTGAGTTCAGTTCCTAGTGTTCACTTAGCTGTCTCACAGTCTTAAGCACAACCTAACAGGAGCTCCAAATCACCAGAAATTTCTGGCTTTCTAGGCCACCTGTGCTTATACACCCATACATGCCCATTCCCATAATTTAAATTATTTTTAAAACCTTTTAAAAATAAAAATAATGGAATATTTGGAGATAAAAATGGCATACATTGTGTACATTTTTTGCAGATGATCCAGAAATATCTATAGAGGGAATCGTGACACAAACCAAGAATCTCTTTTGTAGCAATTTGTGAAATTCATTTAAGGTTACATAAATGAAAATAGATTTCAACATCATTGTTTACCTCACAAGCAGATTGAACATTGAAATTTAAATGAATAGTTTGAAAGTAGTAAAAGCTCACAATGCAAAGTTTTTGAAATGTAAATATAGAAAATTATCTTAAATAAAAGAGACAATATTGCAGAAATTTGTTTAAATAATGAGAATGGTCAGTATTTTACTATTAATTGACTATACGACATTGTTACTACTTTGAGAAACAAAGCAAAGCCAATGATAGGGAATTAAAACCTACAGTAGCACATTCTGTGAATAACCAAGGCTTATTAAAATGGGAAGCAATGTATGAGTTAGTGTGTTGCTGAAATTAAGTTGCCAAAAATTGGGAAATAATTAGGAATAAAGGAAAAAAGGTTATAACACTCTAACTATACAAGATTATATGACTGCGAGAACAGAAAAGTCATCATCAAAAAAAAAAAAAACAGAAAGAACTGTGCATTATAAAATGGACATCTAGTATTTTTAATTTTAAATGTTAGGAATTTCTCAGTACTTCTAAGTAATAAAATAAAATTTCTATAATTCTCTTGAATTAGTTAATTTTCTATTGCTGTGATAGAACACCATGTCTAAGGCAACTTTTAGAAGGAAGGGTATATTGGAGACTTACACTTCTGGAGGGCTAAAGTTCATTATCATCACAACAGGGGAATGTGGCAGGAGGCAGGCATGACATCTAGACATGGAAACTCAGAGCTGAGGTCTTACCTCCCCACACAACAGAACAGAAAACAGAGAGAGCACTGGAAATTATGCAAGACTTCGGAACCCTCAAAGTCTGTTCCCAGTGACACTCTTCCTGCAGTAGGACCACAGCTCTTAAAGCTATCCACACCTGTAAAAATAATGTAACCTGTGAGGGAGCAAGAATTCAGATACCTGAGACTATTTCATTCAAAACATTACAGCTCTATATGAGATTTTATAACCTGGGGTCATTTTTTTTTCTGTAATACTTACTGTAGTGGTTTGAATAAGAAAGCCCCTCCCCATGTGCTTAAAATTTTTACTACATGAGTTCCAACTGGTGGAACTGTTTGGGAAAGATTAAAAAGTGCAACATGGTAGAAAAGTTGTCACTGAAATGCAAGTTTTGAATTTTCAAAACCCAATGCCTTTCTCGGTTCTTTCTACCTCATGTTTGTTCTCAGCAATGGCTCCAGTGCCATGTCTGACTGCCTGCTGCCATGCTCCTTGCAATGATGGTCGTTGATTTCAACCCTCCTCAATTGTAAAGCCCAAATAAACCCTTCCTTCTAAAGTTGCCCTTGTGGTATCTTATCACAACAATAAAAATTTAACTAAGATATTTATTATGAACTTAACACTGGGTAAGTGTGGAAGATTAATAAGGAAATAAGGACAAGCCTGATGGAAGTTTAATGTAGCTATTTGCTCAATAATTATACACAGATTTCTTACAATATGGCAACTACTTCTTAGACAGTTAGAATATTAGAATGATTTAAAACATGTCAATACTTTCATGAATGTTACAGCTTGAAAAAATATATCATAAAAATGAACAACTATGGGTTTATATGAAGTAGCAGTAGATTCTTGAAGAATTGTAAAACAAGTGATGAGAGGCGTTTTGGGGGCCGCCAGTTACCGTCCAGCCATGGCCAAGTCCAAGAACCACACCACACACAACCAGTCCCGGAAATGGCACAGAAATGGCATCAAGAAACCGCGGTCACAAAGATACGAATCTCTCAAGGGGGTTGACCCCAAGTTCCTGAGGAACATGCGCTTTGCCAAGAAGCACAACAAGAAAGGCCTGAAGAAGATACAGACGAATAATGCAAAGGCCATGAGTGCCCGAGCAGAGGCCATCAAGGTCCTGGTGAAGCCCAAGGTGGTGAAGCCCAAGGTGCCAAAGGGCCCCACCCGCAAACTCACCCGGCTCGCGTTGATTGCTCACCCCAAGCTTGGGAAGCGGATTAGAAGCTATATGGCCAGGGGTCGTAGGCTCCAAAAAACAAAACCCAAGGTTCAAGCCAAGGCAGAGGCCTCAGCTGCAGCTCAGGCTCCCAAAGGTGCCCAGGCCCCTGTGAAGGACCCATAAAAAAGGTCTCAGTCTGCCAATGTGAAGACAGATGGACTGGTGTGAATATCTACACAGTATTTACAGATGATCAGGACCTTATGCTGTTTTTACAAATAAACTTGAGGCAAGATCAATTAAAAAAAAAAAAAACAAGTGATGAGATGAACTTTGCAGCTAGTGTACTGTT